TTACAGTAAATAAAAGTCAAAATTAACCATATGTAGTTCCATAAGGAGGGATCTGGACAGCCTGCCCCTAAATCAGCCTCCGAGATGAGTCATACGTATTGACCTTTCTTGGCGCACACACGGTTTTCATTGCCTATGTGTTTTTTTTTGTACAAATAAATAATTTGATAATTAATATGCCTTCAATCCATTTTCTTGAGACATATTACACGTACATGAATCATGAATTTTCTACGTTTTTATAATTTTGAACACATAGTATGCCCTGGGATCTGACCTGAAATATACATGAAACATTGAAAATTCACGATAGTAAGGTATATAGGAGCAACATTTAAATTCAAAGGGTTAGGGGTTTGTTCTGAGTCGGAAATAATTTGGAACACAACGTTATTCCCCACTGCCATGCACCAAACATTTTTTTCTTGAAATAAACGGTATGGGGAATTCTTGAATTCCGATTTTTTTTGTCAACTGCCAGACCACAATATTTTTTTCTCTCATCAAATTGGGGATCAGAATATGATCAGAATAGGCCTCCAGATTTTTTTTGGAAAATTTGGTGTTCACCCCAAGAACCGGGTTGGCCACAACATAACAATTTCAATCAAATTTATTTACAATTTACACGGTGTGCATATGTTTAAGTATGTTTAAATGAAGATATTTGCATATAGTTTAGGACTTTATTCATTATAGGTTGAAAAATACAGGCAAAGTTCAGATGTTTATGAAGTGTTATATATTTTGACTTTTGTGAAACCTTAACAGAATAGACAATTGGGGCAAATCTGATGAAAAAAAAAAACGAAAATTCCTAGTAACAAAAAATTGACCCACATAACAGCAATTGAAATCTCCTCCCCAAGAAATTGTACCTCAGGACCTGTATAATGCTGGAAGTATTTTAATATGCCTTTGGAACACCCTTTTAAAAAATTGGGTATGGTTCTCCAGGCCACGGCTTAGGTAGCACTTCACAGTTAAAAAATAAAATTAAAATTGAGCCACAGAATGTCTGATAATCTTCCAATCCTGGCCTTCAAATACATTAGGCCAACTGTACTAGCACCCCCTTTTTTCTGAGAAACCCTGGCTAGCACACCCTTCCTTTTTTCACAGTGTCTGGATCCGCCCCTGACCGATACGTAGTACTCAACTATGATCAACTGTAGGTCATAATAAAGGACGAAATACGTAACGTAAATTAATTCAAGCGTGAGGGGCCCCCATATATCACGGCTAAAATTGTACTTAGTTTGTCCTTTTATACAACCTTTTGGCAAGTACCACCATCCCAGAAATCAGTTACCACGATCTTTCAAAATTAACATGAACAGTAACCATCATCAACGTCCTTTTTTTTTCACTCTCTCTATTTTCTAAGTAATGTACAACTGTTTACGCTTGTCAGCAGTGTTTATCATTGTTTTCATTAGTTTACAAGTTGTGACCTTCGAAATTGTTTTATTCAATGTTCCTATAGATTTTTATGGTAACTCCCTGTGCCCCTAAAAAACAAACAAAATAAAGTTTCCCTCCCACAAAATTTTACACTTAAACGTTGATTTGAAAAAAAAACTTGATTTCATAATTTTGGTTATCAATTGAAATGAACCTTCTAGAGCCTCAACCTAACGCGCACAATAATGTCAATCATTACACATCAAATTTAACCCTAAATTGACATTCCACAATCGGTCAGTAACATCACCTGTGTTTATAGCTACATGATATTTCCCGCCGTTGGAAAATCTCGTGCAGTGACACAATTGATAAAATCTATTTTTAACATCTCTATTGTGAGCGAAATTTTTGACGTGCATTATTTCATTATTAAAAATGTTCGATCTACATTTGTTGCAGTCTAAAATTTAATTAAAAGAAACGTAATATCATTTCTTTTTCTTTGGCAATTATAGTAAATTAATCTCATCCCGGAATGTATATTCACTTTACCATTAGACCTGATTTCTAATAAATGAAGAAACTGTGTTTCACATTAAAAAATTTAAGAATATTATAGCTCAGGCATATTTATTTTATTTTAAGATGATTGATTGTTGGTTGCTTAACTTCCAGTGGCAAATATTCCATGCAAGTCCGGACAAACTTAGTTTTAAGATTGCACTTTCAAAAATCATTGTAAAACAAAAATGATCAGAAGAACTTTTATTCATGTGAAATAACCGTCCAATCTTTTAAAAAGAACTTATTTACATTTCAAAGTGTAACAGATTAGTTTACAAGACAGGCATTTACGTTAAATATACAATTCTTTGTATACATGTACGCAACTATCATATCTTTTAAATTGAACTTTTTTGTCTAAAAAGACAACCCACGAGTTTGCGAAATCGAGTTTGAATGCACTGCATCGTGTGTAAATACATATACATATTATGCAACGACGGTCTGACTCTATGTATTACCAGGGTTGCGTTCAATATTGTAGCGGCTACGTAGTGCTATGTAGATTTTTACTATTGAACGTGTAGCTATAGATAAGCTGCTACATAGATATTGATAGCAACTACATAGCCGCTACGTAGCTGCTACGATATTGAACTCAACCCAGTTGACCCCTGATACCAACTAAGGTTACTAAAGACTTTCCCCTGGCCGTTCATTTAATTTTTGTTTCAATAAACGGTTCTAGAAGCAATTAAATGATCTGCGGCCTCTGACATATAATTAAAAAAAGTAACCATCTAATCCCCAGATATATATAATCTGTTTCTCTCTAAATTTACAGAAACATTATATGATATATTTTTGAAAATTCATTATATCTCAAATGATTATAGTTACTTTGTTTTTAATTCTGTAAACATCTATATATCATAATTTGTACCACACTACAAGGATCTATTAATAACCGTCGCTCACGCATAACGGATTATACAACGACCTATTAATAACCGTCGCTCACGCATCAGTGATTCTATCAATGACTCAATACACACCAGTTTTATCGGACAAACGGCTAATTCCCGCCGACTCGGAAAATCTCTGGATAACATGCAAAATATACTGTAATACAGCAAATTTACGATGAACCTCTAATTTTTATCCGTTTTATGAGATTAGCCAAAAAACACCGGAGTTTTTACAAAAATCACGGTGATTTTCCAAATAGGTCTGCCAGTGTAAGGCCAAAAAAAAATATATGTCTGTTTACGGTTACACGACCGACCCTACTTTTGAGCGCCGACCCCAAGTCATTTTATTTCCGTCGTAAAGTGAAAAATAAACTGAACTCATGTCAAACGCGAAGTTAGTGTTGCAAATAATTTTAATCAATTGCCTGATACATCCCTATGTTCACAATCGTGATTATGACAGCTGTTTTAAGGAAATTCACAACTCGTGTGATGAAATAAACACTTTGCCGCCATTTTTTTCCAACCAATTACCAAGGGAAATAATCCAATCATTAAAAATACGGGTAAACTCGGCCCATAATCAATTCGGACCACGACAAGACGAAACGGCATGACTCAAAAAATAAAATGAAAAAATAAAATAAAATGGAAATACCGACCTACCTACCCTATTTTTTTTAAAGTATGTAACCTTAAACAGACATATATTTTTTTATGGCCTAACAACTCATCACTGCCAAGCTGCTGACTAAATACAAATGTTATTATGTTCTTATCTTCACTAGCCAAGGTTTTATCGATCCAGTTCCCTCCTCTTTACCCTTTGCGGATTCAGATAAGTAATGATTTCCATTGGTCGCAGTTGTAACTGGCTGCATCCAATCAAAAGTGCCTTTAAGATGATCACGTGTAAATTTAGAAAATGTATATATAAACAATTGCCACGTGCTGATTGTGCAACAATAAAGTTCTTACTCAACTAATTGAGGTTCATGGGTATGTTTCTCGTGCAAATGTTGGAAATGTCAACATATGTTTTCGTTACCTGTTTCACCTCACCACTAAAGAGAGTTCAAGTGCTGCCATTGGTCAAGAATGATGTAGTCATAATGGGCTTGACTTTTATTTACCTGTAGATGGCATTGTAAGCACAAATGTTGGCTTAATCTGCCAAGGGTGGAGAGGAGGGAACTAGATCGTAACCCTTGGCTCGCGAAGATGTTTTGATTTCAGTGTTCTGTAATACTTTAGAAAAAATGTGATGTGCAAGGTTTCTGCTAACAGGAAGTATAAGTCTGAAAACCCAGAAAAAGTGCTCACCATTGCTCACAGGTTACAATTCATCACGGTAAAGCTGATGACCAAATCTGAAAGTGTCTTATTCAATCGTTTAGGAAAGTGTGATGAAAAATATTTGTTGGATAAACGGACAGACAAGGTGAATGCAAAATAGCCCTCACTCCTATATCACATATGGAAGTCAAGGGCTAATAACCTTGAAGCAAACTAAAAATTAAACCTAAATTAAAACAGCACATGCACTAAATTATCTTCATTGGCTTCATTTGTCTTAATTATATATAAAGATAAAGGTTTCACTACAAGTATCAGCTGAACTTATCATAATCAATGATCCATGTAGATGAGGTCAAGGTCAGATGAACCCTGCTAGAAAGACATCACAATCATTCCATACACTAGATATGGTGTAAGCAGGAAGTTGATGAGCAATGAATCTGAAAACGTGTCACATGTTAGGGCATTTGGTCTCTGGTAGAGAGTTGAAACAACTCAATCATACCACATCTTCTTATTTTTATCTTTATACATATTCAGTAAACATGAAGTGGAAGAGTTATGAATATGAAACAGTGTCACATGGTATAGTTTTATGAAGCATGACAACACATTTCAGAAAACTTATTTGTAGTTCCTTAGAAAAATGAGATGAAAATTTGATATACATGTATGGTCATTTACGTTTATAAAACATAAGTATTTGGTAAACAGGAACTTGAAGTTCCTTTAAAAATGTGACAGAAGTTTAATGAGACAGACACACGGATGGGGGTAAAACAGTATAATAAAGAATGTTTGAAATGTCATTGTAATTACCCTTCACTACTTTGGCTACTACCACATCCACTACTACTACTACTGCTCCCAGCCTCACTGTCCTCAAGGGTATTTTCCTTTCCTTTTCCCTTTGGTGATTGGATCAAAAAGCCACCAATACCTTTTTGCCAATCAGGAGTAGGTTGATCACAGACTGAATTACCACCTGCATACTTATTTTTACCTGTTAAAATAAAATACAAAACATTGACCCTTAATACAGGCAATATTGTTTACTTACCAACATAATTTATCGAAAAGTAATGTGAATTATTGTTTGGTATAAATTAAGTATGTTAATTTTAGAAACTATTCTATATGTTAAAATCATTTGACATGGTTTAACATGAATCTTATGATGTATTTGCATGTATATAGAAAATAATGGTTTCTTGATCATGACCCTTAGTACATAGAATTTTGTATCTATCCAAGATATTTTATTAGCTTTCCTCAACAAGCACTGTTACAAAGTGGGAACCTTTCCCCAATTTATCCTACATGTATGTTAACACATTTTTTTTTGTAATCCTTCCATCTTTTTCAGTATGTTATCCTAAACATACAATTTTATGTCTACGCCTAACATGTCAAATGGTTATTCACTTCAGACTGACACACAGAAATTACTGCAACATGATCAAAATGTTACTAGCCAACATGGGAGTGCGCATTTTGTTTAGCACTTCAAACAGTGTATGTGCATTAATGATTTTTTCAGCATCCAAACAATGCTAAATGTAGATATACATTGTTCAACATGGTCTCAATTTTTCAAAAATTTATTTGGCTGCAGATGATTTCTTCAGTACTTTTTAAGGGTACATTGAATTTTAAATTATGCAGTGTTGGTTTATCAAAAGGTCAGATGAGCCATGCATGACAAACATGTAAATCTGTTACCAGGAGCAGCTACAAATATCACTTTTATCACAGTTCAGAGAGTTTTTAGGATTTTCAACTATTGTATCTTAGTAATGCATTTGTACTATTGGCCATATCTTTTTTGTACTTACTACTACTTGGTGAGGAACATGATGAGGTATTACCAGAACTACTGCCACCCAAAGCTTTCCTTGGAGCTCGTGCAGCAACAACTGTAATCATAAAACGTAAAATCTAATGACAAAATTTCCAGATAAACATATTCAAAAGCAAAAACAATAAGTGAAAAAAATAATTTTAAGCACTGTAGCTTAATGCTACTGCAAACATTCAATATAGAATATATAGAACTGTCTGGTACACATGTTTATAAATGTACTTGACACTATAAAGTGACCATGTGTAAACTACTATGACTACTATTCTCTCCCATAAGGCTACTTTCCAACTTATTACATTGTACTTGAAATGGAACAAAACTGGATTGTTTGTGTGACCAGAATTATTTGTTTCTTACAAAAAGCGCAAATTATCAACAATTGCACATTGATGCATCGAGAAATTAGGCCAATATAAAAAGAAAGTGTCCATTTTTTAGCCCGGTTTATTTTGGGAATTAGCTGAAAAATTATAATTGTCACATTGGAATAATCAATGACAGGATGCTCAGATATTAATTTAATTGATATGCAAAATGCATTGTAATGTAGGAATTTTCCTTATATAATACTTGGACATGTCATATAAAGTATTAAAATAGAATTACTCAAACAGATGCATTAGGCCAAAATAAATTAATAGTGTGTTTCCTATTTCACCTTGAAAAAAAAATAGGTAGGGTAGGTAGGTAAAACATTTTATTTTCTGAAACTTTTTTTTCTCTATCGATGACAGCAGAAAAAGGTTCCAAATGAAATCGTTTGATGTGCCTGCCTCTTTGATATTTAGAATAGTACTTAAATCTACAGCTTTTTTAATTTTCTGGTTTAGTTCTGTGTAAGAAATATGAAAATAAACTTTAATGCAAATTTTATGCTTTTCATGGGTCTTAATAGGAATATGTTCTTGCCGATTAATTATCTTAAAGCAAAAATGGCAGTGAAAAATCCGGCATGGTATTATTGTTTGGTCTCGTTGAACCTAACATAATTATTATGGCTTATTCTGTTCTGTTCTGGTTAAGAAAATCCCTCCTTCAAAGGAGCACTTCGCACAATGACGAATAAAATGTTTATATATATATACCTACAAAGACATACTAGGTACACTTATTATGATTTTTCGAGGGGTAATACTAGTACTCTTGCACTCTCTTTATTTAATATATGGATGTGTTTTGATGTTTGACAAAATTTAACCTTGAAGAGTAGGCGGTTCTGACAATATTAAAATTAGGTTTTGAGAAGAGTGAGATTGCAAAATCTTTGTCTTATTAAATCGATGGCAAAACAATTGTAGATATTAATATGACATGATTTTTTTACCTTCTCTAGTAATAGTATAAACTGTTGTGTGACCAACCAGAGAAAATATAAAAAAATAAAAGTAGACATGGTGCCAGGGCAGATTCATTTATAAATAAACATGAATCATACACCATGTCTGCCTACTGTGGAAAGCTTTCTATTTCTCATTACACATTGTCTGCCCCCTTGCCGTCATTAACTCAAACTGTCAAAAGCTAAAAAGAATTAACAGCCGTTTATGTTGCGTCATCAGAATTTTTTTTTTACAACATTCATAAGAGCATTTTTTATAACAAAAGCTGGATTGATTTTAGCAGTAAATTGCACTCATTTTACTCTAAACTTATTAGTAATATTTGTCAATTAACCGACAGAATAAGATACAGTCTGTCAAACCTGAAACAATTCTGATGTTTGGTCCAAAGAAGCACAGGTACAAAACGAGATTTTGTTAATATATGTATATATACTGAATACATTATTCACTATATATACAAATCTAAAAAAAATCTCGTCTTGTACCTGTGCAAAGAAGTTGAGCAAAATGCGTCAACTTCGTATTTTTTTCTTCTATATGTCCATCATGGTGTTCTTCAAAAAGATTCATCATATCGTAACTATTCGGAAGCGACGTCATTATATTTTGCGTCCATGTTCTCACATTTCGTATATTTGACAGCTAATACTCTGCACGGTTGTCGAAAAGCCATGCTTGCTTATTTAAAATCTTGGTCCTTGAAACGCTTTACTTATCCATATTGGTCATTGCTCTCAAACGTTTTGAAGATCTGTGGTTTTCTATACCAATAATCGGATCCGGACAGACTGAAAAATCTGAATTTTTAATATTTTTTTTTATATTTGTCAATAAAATGTTTAGGGTCGACGTCAGAAACGGAGGTAGGGTCTTGAAACCGGAAACACACTATTTATTTAATTTGGCCTTACATAATCAGGTAGGCAGTGTTTTTTCTAGGCTATTTTATAATAGCTACAGGTACACATTAATTTCTGCAGCCATGCTTTGATCACCATTGCTATGCTTCCTGCTTGATGACCAAAAGAGTATTAGCAGATAAACATAAAAATAAATTCTGTTTCATTTTAATATGAGTCTCCTGTTTACTCAACACACGATTTTATAGCAAACAAAACTACTTGTCTGGGGAAAGTCACCTGATCAATCAGGCAAATTTGTTTAATTTGTTTCTTGTAATGGGATACAAGAAGATTGTTAATAAGCCAAACTTTTATCTTTGTCGTTTCAAGGTATAAATTATTGTATTTTTAATTAAATACAAGATACTTTATTGTGCAAATCAATATCACGACCCCCATTACTGAGCAGAATAACCATCGTTATTACAAAACAATATATGATAATAAGATAACAAAATAATAGTATTTGTTTATGAAATAAACGTTACCTGAAGATAGTCTTTCTTTGTTAACATTGAAAATAATGTCATAAATAAATTTCTAAATCAAGACCTATGTCATGTATGTCTGTAACCAACATCAAAGACTTTTCTTTATTTCAGTATTTTGTTTATCAAAAATTATATGAAAATATGCAAAAAAGCTTCAAGTTGGGAGTAAACATATATATTACAGTTGTTTTCCAGTCGTTCCTCTGGTAGCGTTACTTGTTTACATGCATTTAAAAACCAAAACTGTAAAGTGAAAAATTGTTTTTTGCATAAATCAGGCTGTAAGTTTTCTCGTTTGAATTGTTATACATATTTCATTTCAGGGCCTTTTATAGCTGACTATGCAGTATGGGTTTTGAACACCAGTATACTACTGTTGCCTTTATTTTGCTCATTGTTGAAGGCTGTACGGCAGTCAGAGCTCAGACATAATAAGTCTAAATTTGCTTTTGACTCGTAGAGGTCTAAATTTGTAGGTTTCAAGATTTGTGTCCCTTTAATTTAAGACAAATTATGACTTCAATAAGTCAATTAGTGTTAAGCAAGAAATATTTGACCTGAATTAAAAAGTTGCAAATATTGACTCCTATAGCTACAAGTTGATAAGTTACCAAAATTGGTCAACTTCAAGACCCAAGCATATTTATAAAAAGGTCAAGCATCTATATGAAATTATGACAACATTGAAAGACAATGCTTTGTCTTCTAAAGAAAAATATGCATGAGAGCCTAAAAAAACAGAGATAATGTTTATTTACTTTACAATCAGTCAGCAGACTTACTGAAATGAGTGATTTATAAATCACTCATTTAAGTACAAAAATGTAGCAAATTAGAAAATCTGTTATTTTGTAGTTTTACCAAAATTTCAAACATTACAGGTTTAGATCATATCTAATTATTAGTAAAATTGAAAAAAATGAACTTTTTGCTTTTTTTTTTTATAGCAAGATTTTAGCCTTTGATGCAATCATTCAGCCATAAATTTGATATTTGTTGAAAAAATGGCTAAAATAAAGGCTCTTAATAATGAACTAATACTTTCTTAACAGATTTTTCCCAGCAGTGGGAGTAATTTTCCTGTAAAATTCAAGGTTTCATCTTCCAGATTATGAAATAAAATTTTACTGTTCGCGATAAAAATTTCACTGTTCGGGGGTGTTGAAATAAGTGGGGATAATTAAAATAATAATACTGTAAGAAGTGATTTTTTGGAAGAAAATAGAGGTATGATACTTAAACAATTGATTTTCATGTCATTATCCCAGATTCAGTACAGGGTCATTACCTGACATGACCGGTCATCCTATCATAACAGATGTTGGTTCTGATAATTTTAGCAACATAATAAGTCCCTGGATCATTAGTATTCTATATTCAAAGCTACAATAAAATTAAATCACTTAGTCTAGTGATTTATTTGTACTACTTAAATAGGTGATTATTAAAGAAAGACAACTCTTACTCAGAGTTCACGAAAATGGTCGGTCCTGTCGGTCAAAATGAGGCTCGGACCAGTATTTTGAAGGCTATTGCTGGTCCCGATGACCGATGTAAAAACGGCCGTTGTAGTGCATATTTCGGCACTTTTTTACATCGGTTATTATATGTACCGCAACTGTTTCCAACAAGTGTTTACATCGGTTATCAGATGTATCCGCTGCCAATTTCCGGTACTGGTTTACGGATTTATTATAAACAAACCAAAGCGGCGATCTACACGTGGCCTACTTAATTTGTCCATAGAGCCATCCCTGGCAAACAATCGGCGATTGAACCCTACAATGGAGCAAACAAATACTGTAACAGCCGAGAAAGTGATTCAGATGATGAAATGGATAGTGAAGATGACTTTAAATAAGAACAATCAGAAGACCTGAACTGGTCCTTCATTGTTAATTTGCCTGTGGGTGCGAAGAATAAAACTAATATTAATAAAGTTATTTTTCGATAAAATATGTTATCAATTTTTTCTCAGGATAAAATTGACAGATTTTGTAGGACTGGCTAAAATTTTGTAGGACTGACAAATAATCATGCTTTGTCGGTCCCATGACTGACGGGTCAAAATAAGTTTTCGCGAACTCTGCTTACTTCCACGTTTGTGGACAAAATGTTACTTGAATCAGTGATTTATAAATCACTCATTTCAGTAAGTCCCCTGACTCACAATGCAACCATCTATAACCACACAAAATGAGGAAAATAATCTTATGTCAAGTAAAAATGTTCAATTAGATAATTAAATATAGATAGCTCAGGTCCTTGTGAACTCTCACTCTCAGACAGGTTTATGATGTCATAGGTGGTGCACTTTGGCCACCAATTAAAATCAAGTCTTTTCATAAACATAAATAGACCTAAACAAGTCTGTCATTTTCTGACTTAAATAAGTCTGAAAATAAAAACACATTTTTATAATAAATACATTTTTTGACTTCTGTAAGTCAAAAACAAAAACGAGCTCTGACTGTACGGTGACCTATATATAATAGTTGTTAACTGTGTCATTTCGTCTCTGGTGAAGAGTTGTCTCATTGGCATTTATACCACATCTTTTTTTACATTTACAAATTAGGTACGGTGCAGTCCGGTGTATCCGCGCACCTAAGACTTATGACTTCACTTTATTAAAATGATAAAACCAATAATCGGATAATATTGTGTGAAACAATTCATTCCATACTTTTATTTTTGGGGACTCCACTGTAATGCATTTTGTCATTTCGGTTAAAATATATAAAATATAGAGCTAATGTTTAGTAGTTAGCAGCTATATCAAATACAAATAAAACTTTCTATTTGTCAAGTTTGTGGGTCTGCAAAAATAAAAAAAAATAATATTGACTTCCAAAATTTTTACACAAACAGGAGGGGGAAAAAGGGGGGGGGGGGTGGGTTAAAACATGTAAATATTTTGCTTGGAACATAGATATAATAGCCATAGATAAAGTACTGAACCCACATCAAAAGCAGATGATATTTGCCGAAATTTTATCACCCTCTTATTATATACATGTCACGCTTGGTGTTAATTAGCATTCATTGGCAATTGCCGTCTATCGATATCTAATAAATTGTGAATCGGGAGAGTAATATGTCATTCTTCGGACAAGTTCGGTAGTTATCTTTATCTTCCGGTACATCATTTTGTTTATGGAATGTTTATATATGTGCTTAAAATACAAGTCAAGGTGATCGATGTATAATTACATTGTTCTTATAAGTCCTGAATATTCATCAAATATTTTCCACCGAACGTTGTGAAATCAACGATCATATAATAAATCACAGTAATAGAAAATACACAACTAGTTTCATACCAAACCAAAGAAGTTATAAAAATAAAGTACACAAAAAGTACGTTGACAACTAAACGGGCAGACTTACGGAGGGTTATATAGCCGTATTTATAGTACGAATAACACCCCTAACACAATTCTAAGAAGGATATATATTGTTTACTTCAAAAATGAAATCGACAATCAGATTAAACCATCCGCTATTTAATTGCAAAACAAGCAACAACAAAAATGTAAGCGGCAAAGTATTATATATATAAAAGAAAAAAATCAGAGACATGATAATTGTGCTATTTCCCAATTATTTAATGTATTCAGTATGTCCACCACTTACGTTTTCTTCACCAAACGGTGTTTTAAAATTTATAATGTTTTCATTTTTTTCTCTTTATTTTTTCAAAAACTTCGTATTACGACAGAAAGTTTCAACACTTTTTTTGTGTTCTAAAATATAATAATTTCGTTTTTCTGGTCTAAAATGTGATTATACTGTTTTGAATCTCGATAAAAAAGAATTGTCTTTAACTCGCCATAGAAAAATTCGACCAGGTTCGACCTCTTAACCACGTATACCATCAGTAGTTGATATGTCTCCTCTTGTCAATCATACAGGTCTTATTTCCCGAGTGCAACCGATGCAAGTGCTATGGCAATTTAATTTTACGTGCCTGTTAAGTCCATTTTCCATAATTTCTCTATTCTATTATTTCAACAACAGCATAACCTTTTTATTTGTTGACCGATTTTCTCCAAATAAATTACAATCCGAACAGTTTTTACAACCAGACGCTTTTCATTGCTACCGCCTCACGGCATATTTTTACTTGAGACAGGTAACGCATATTAATTATCAGCTGATAAGACGCGTGCCCGATAATTTAAATATAATTATGATAAGAAATTAGTCTATTGGGAGGATGTCGGCAGATATCATCTACATCACAGGCCACTTCGCGCCGTGCCGTGCGTTTGATATTTCAAAGGAAACTACATGGGGCTCAGTGTGATATATTCTGAGTACTTTATCTATGGCTATTATATCTATGCTTGGAACAATAGAAAACAAGCGAAAGTTGTTCTGTAAAAAAAGATCATCAAAATATATATATAAAATCAAACTTCGGGAATAAAAAAGCTTAGCTGCAGTCATTTTACCCTTTCTCGAAGCGCCGCTGCTGTCTGCTTTTGTTCGGACCATGTTTTCAGTGATAAAATTGTTCCCGCCTGTTCTTTGTTGTTGTAGTTCCCGCACTTTCCAACCGGAAGTAACTGCATGTGTATAAATCGGACCAAACACAACTCGGCCTGAAAAAAACTCGGACCAATATAATACAGGGACACCTATATGATTCTTCATAGATCTTCATAACGCTGGTACTTTTGTACCAACAATATAAATAAATCTTCAAAATTTTTATGGCTCCTGACACAAGAAAATGTATCTCTTATGGAAAAATGGGCTGTTATATTGGAGAGTGTTTTGAATTTAGATCAGGTCTGAATATTGATACTAAGTCTAGTAAATAATTTGAGAACGTGACGAATGCATATGGGTCATTTTCAAAAAATGTCGAATTTTGAAATTGAAAAATTGATTTAAAGTTACTTATTCAAGCAACCCTCGTCATAAGCAAATCAAAACAAACAGTACTTATAGAACAACATATAAAAAGATGAAATCTTGATAATGTCATACAAGAATATATTGAAACATTTTTTGATAGGTGGTGCAATATTTTGTCTCTCCTGTTACCATGTTCAAAAGAAATTTCGGGTTATTTAGAAAAGGTTTCGATAAAATTTTAAGCTTGTTTTTCGTAGCCAATAAGATGGTTTTCAAGAGTAAAAACTTCTATATATATTCATTCTATGAAATAATAGATTATTTGCCAATTTTCCATGTTGTACTGAAAAATGCCTCTAAAAATTGGTTTTCAAAGGTTATAAAAATAACCACCAGTAATGCAAGTCTAAGATAGCAATTAATAATGATCAGCATTTGTTCTCTCTTTCAAATAAACCCAACATCAAGTGAATCCCTCGCACGTTGGTTTACTTTTGTCTTTATTTTATTGGTAACAGGAACGTACGTTAAAGATATATCACTATATTAAGTTCTATCTTGTTACCTTTTTGTCTATAATGTTACCAATATCAGTATTGCACCTGCAAATGCTAAATTGCGAAGATTAAGACGTTATAACCTTTAGATGAATTCAAACAACGAAACATTTCGTTATGTGTGCAACTATATGTTATTATAAACTTTTTAAAGACGTTTCTGTCTACTATTGTGTCTCCTGTTACTGTAACCATAGCAACCATAGCAACAGGATAGACATAACAGGATAGACACATTTCTTCATTTTTGAATGCTGTTGTGAAATAACTACTCCCTTTGATGAAGTGATAATGTTTTTCTGTTGTGATTTTTGTTTCCAACACGTTATTGCACTTTTTACAAGTATAATATTGGTGTAATTAATCAATATGTTGGTAACAGCATAGACATGACAAAAAAGTACCCACTATTTTTTTTTCACTAAATGTCTTGAAATTTCGTTTCTCTACACTGTTATACAAGAAACGTGCTGTGTTAAATGTTAAGGTTACTTTGCGCTTTTGAAATCAACACTGACTAGTTCAACTTTCATAGGTAGAAAAATTTAACGGCTGGTTTAAGTAGCGGTAACAGGATGGACTTGAACTTCATGTACGCTGGTTGAATTTAGTTTGTAGAAAAAATGTTACATATAATAACAAAGAAGCTACGATTTTTCGTTAGAGTTATTATTTACGTTCTAAAAAAGTCCCTTTTGCAGATATCAAGGCGATCAGAAAATAGCAAAAACATCATTTGAAATGTGTTACTCGGACACTGTACGCTCATAAATTACGCAAAAATCGGACTTAAATATATTTTAATCTTATCAAAATAGATCTAAATCGTGTTTATTATGAATGTTCTGACTCATAAATCCTACAAACTTTCATTTAAACACTTACAACTGCATTTTCCATAAGAAATAAAAGAATTAGCATGGGTGTACTGAAAATTCGACATTTTTTGAAAATGACCCATATAATGTAATTTTATTATTTAATTGTGCATTCATAATATATATTGTTGTTGGCTCTGATTCTGACCAATGCTTATATACTAAATATACATTTACATGTACACTGTGATGTTTATTGTTGTAATTATCAATTATGTCAATCAATTGTAACTGATCATGCCCTTTATGGGCCCTGTAATTTGGGAAATAAAAATATTCTATTTTATTCTGTTCTACACTGCTTCATACTTTGTCATTGAAACTGGTTGTCATATTCTGACTTCAAATAATATTTGGGTTGGCCCAGAATTTATCTAAATCTAGGAAAGAACAGTTCATGCAGTTATTGTGGTTTTTAAGTATATGTTTATCTAAAGTTAGTTCCGTTGGGTAAAAACTCGGCTGTATACTCTAGGAAAAATAAGTACCATCATTTTAATGTGCTTTTCAAGTTACATAAGTTAATAGTTGCAGAAACCCTACTATAGAGGCCGAGATGCGGCACAGTCATTTGACGAGGTTTTGTGTAGTTTAGATAGCTAATACATAGTAGTGACCTTCAAATGTTCAGAGAAGGCCTTAAGCTGAGATGTGGCAATGCTATGATTGTTTATTATTAGACTCTCTGTGGAGCGTATGGATCTGAATGTAGGAAAAGTTGAACATTTTCATTCTTAAAAACTTCCGTGTAGTATTTACGTCATACCACCACCACAGTGTTGGCTGCTTTGTCGGCCGGTATGCACACATACCATGTTGCAAGTATTTGAAGTTAGTTTTTTTGTAGTAATTTGCATATAAGACTATATACTATACTATACAGAGACTATATCAAAGATTAAGATTTGTTAAGACACTATAATATATAGATGTACTGATTATAACAAAAAAGTTGTAGAACCACTCCTGTTTTGTTTGGAACAAAAATTATTGTATCCTTTTAGAACGCCAGCGCTCTAGTTCTGGTTGGCGAACACCTGACCTTGCACCAAAGTTTTTTTTTCATAAATCTAAGTTTTGTTCACGGTTGGGCAATCTGTAGTTTGTTTTTAAGAGTCTGTATTACCCTGGCACACCACGAATAGGACAAATGAAATTGGATTAGAGCCGTTGTAAGAATTTTGCGGGGTTCAGTTTACAAACAGCTTACTTTACTGTACATAAATTTCAATTTATAGGCATTACCTTTTTGATATTTTCTACTGACAATTATAGGTCAATGTCTAAGCCAAAATACATAACTTTTTACTATGATTTTATGATCTGGTCGTTATACATGCAGCTGTATTTGAAAGTTTGTTTCTGTCGTTATAACCTATAAATATATAAATATCAGTTGAAAAACTCATCAGATCTATACAACATCCCAACAACAAACAACAAAAAAAGACACTGAGTACAGATCTAAGAGTACTCTCAGTTACGGACACCTAGTCCAAAGCCAATGACAACTAATAAAAAATCGTGTATCTAAGACTAAAATATCAGTCAGTACACATCCAACAACCAATGCGTTTAGTGTAAAGACGTCATTAACATGACCTTGTGCAATCCCAAAATACAGGTATCAATAGATCGTATAACCGGGAATGTGCATATGTATATAAAAATAATATCATTTTGGTTTTAATTCAGTGATAGCAAAATCACTATTTATACCCGGCAATAAAAACAATATTCAAAGATCTAATTACAGTGTTGAATTGGTAACCTTTTAGAATTAGTTTATTTAAATGATCGATAAGTTTACCCAGATTGTTTCCCAATTTCCGGGGGCGGGCTCGGTAATTAAACAACATCTCCGTAAAAATTGAGATGTGCTATCCCGTTTGAAATAAGTTTTCTGCAGGTATACAGCCAAACTTCCAAACCAAATCTGTGTATCTATGGAAGAATAATTTACCAGTAATACATAGATTACGTTCATTGAAATTCAAAATGCCACTACAGACACGGGAATAGCGAACGAGTTGTCACTGTGATATATGAACACCGTAAGATGGTGACAAAGAAACATCGCCGTCCAAAAAAGGAAAATTATTAATATAGGGAAAGAAAAATCGTCCCTTTTGTCGTAATTTTTTGTGTAGAGTATCCCGTGTAAAACTGAAATATCTAAATATAGGAAAGTTCCACTACAAAACATCTATATTGTTTGTGGATGGATGGATAGCTGTTGTTAATTAATTGTATATTCAGGAAGAGAACATGTTAGTGCGATATGAATATGAACCCGGATTTGTACCAGACCGACACAATGGGTCGTAGGAAGACATTTATAACCCTACCTGGACACATTATTATGAAGGTATGGATGGGGTTTACAGAATAGAGAATAAGGGTATAAAAAACAATGAATGAAGAAAAATGAGCAAAATATAAAGAATAATGGGGTGTAAAAGAATAAAGAATAACTGTGGAAAATAAAAGAATTTGTCAATATAATACTGATTACAGAAATGAACGATGAACAGAATAAAGAAATCATATAATTACCAATAAATTTATTAGTAATATAATTGTTATGGACATTTTATAGATTAAGCGTTATTCCTAAAAATAAAAAAAAACTCCCAAAATTAAAGAATACAAAAACGAAGGTCTCTCCATCCAGACCCTTTATTATGACTCCTAGTCTACCAGTCTGTTCTCTTACTCCTAAATGTCCAAGGAGGTTAGCCTCCTTGTTAATGTCGAAGCAGCAATTACAAATTTAACAGTCTTTGATTTGACCCAGTCAGGATTCGAAACAATGACCTCATGCACTCGAGGCGAACACTCTACCACGAAACCACTGAGGCTGTTTTTCTGTTTATGCGTATGTAGTTTATCCTAAAATAATTGTTATGTTAAACCAGCTTCATTTATAACGAAATATATATCACCGAGCGGAGCGATGCAAAAAAATGTTGGACGATTTGGTGCTAAAAAATTATATATTTTCCATCCAATTAAAAGAGGGATTATGCGACTGATTGTGAGAAAGCAGTAACAGTAACTCAACAAAGTTTTAAAACTATGAGAATACAAATAAAAATAATTATGTGTTTCAGATTGTTTCTGATAACTCCTGACTACATTTTCATCAATATGGCATGGTACATTTTGCCATAAAGTTAACTCCCAGTATTTAAGAAAAAATAATGGTAACATCGCTTTTGATTCAAATTCGTAGATGGTTATTTCCATTAACAGTTAACTA